GTAACCACACAAGTATTTTAATGGAGTTAAGTCGCGTGTATTGTACAATATTTTATCTACGTCTAACTATAAAAACACACAATGAATTTTAAAATTTATTGTACTTAACTATATATAATATATAATAATAATAATAGCTCCCGTATATAGCATTTAACGCTTTGGGAGTAGCAAGGTACAGCTTGCCATGCTAGAGCCGTTTGGTATAAAGGAAGGTAATGGCTAGCACTAGGCTTCAACCGTCTATTATTACCTCAGGATCCCAAGTACTCATTTAAGGCTGAGTCGGCCTAGGCACCCAAACTATTTTTATTTTAATAAAAATAGTCGGCTGATGAAATGCCGGGTGTAGGATTCGAGCCCACTACCTTGAGACTGGTAGACGAGAGCCTGTACCTCTACGCCACCGGGCACCGTCTAACTTAACTATATACCTATCTTAAAAACCAATTACCTTAATATCTTTGTTCAAATAACACCATGCATGGTAATGTCAATACGACAGTACATAATATTGATGTCACTCTTTCGTCACTAGTTTAAAAAAATGAGCGATTTGGAAAGTATTCCCTCTGACATTGAAGAAGAGGCATTCAGAGCCATTTCTGGATTGCTTCCAGCAAGATCGAAACAGAAGTATGAATATACATACTCCAAGTATGAAAAACGGTGCACCGAAAAAAAAGTACACTACTATGGAAATGAAAAAAAGTGTGAGGTACTCATAACATATTTTTCCAATTTATCCGCGACTATAAGCCTTCGTCTCTTTGGCCTTTCTATTCAATGATACGCACTATGATATCTATTAAAATGAATATATATGCTTCATCAGGAATTTACTTGAAAGATTGTTCAAACTGTATCATTAACATATATAATAAATAAGTTTTCATGTTTTTATAATTATTGTCAATAGTTTATTTGTATTTAGTTGGTATTTGGTGCAAAACAAATGTTTTACAAAATATTTTTTTCTCCTTGGTAGTCATCTAAACAAGGAGTGCGGAATGAAAATGCGTGAGTTAAGAGCTTCTTAACTCACTGACGTAGATAAAGAAAGTTTTAATGCCTTATGCAAAACAGAAAATAATGACAATTAAAAGTTAGATATAACAGTTTTGTTTAACGTATATAACAAGGAGGTATTCTACACAAGAGACTAAATAATTGCCTCAATTATATACCGAGAGCGGCAAAACGTTAAAGTTACATACGCATTCAGGCCGGTATTATCCTCGTTTACTCGTTTCAATTGGGCATAACTAATGCGCAAGTAAACAAATTAATCGGCTCATCAAAAATCATTAGCGTAACGTGCGCCGCACGTGCATTCGCGGTTGTAAAGAGGCACCCTCCAGCCCCAGTCTACTCCCCAAAGGGGCACAGATAATGCTCCGTATCTAGGAAACGCCCTCTTTAGGGCACAGTTTCCGGCAGTCCGACTAAAGAAAAACGATGGAAATCGGCTTAAATCTGTGGGCGTCTAAATGGAAATTGATGCTTTGATGAAAAGTGCACCGGCTGTGTAATTATTTGTAGTGGATTTTAAACTTGACAACAGAAAATGAGTTAAATAAGGGTGTCTCTAATAAAAAGTTTGCGTTTATGTACAAAAGCGAGTGTTAGTTTGGTTAAAAAATACAATTAACATGGAAATGAATGAAATAGGTGTTCTTATTCCAGTGGCATGCTCTATTCGTATCGTAGGCGACATCTCATATATGTGTTTGTGATGTTTGTTATCAGCGAAGGGTATCTTATCTGGGTAAAAAATGTCCCTATATGTACTGCCAAAATATCATTTTACTGACAAGCTACAATGACTGCGAAGAAGACTGCCTATTTACGTTATATTATAAATAATTATAGACAAGCTTATAGTCAACTTATAATTATAGACAACTGCCGTAAGGCTGAGCTAACGACTGCCAGCGATACCAAGTGTACAGGGTGTTCCATTTAAGAAAACATAACTTTAGTTCATATCTACATTTTTTTTTAGTTCATTTTACAGAGATACGGGCGTGTTCCAAATTGCAAATTTTTTCAAAAAAACCCTCTAGCTCAGAAACGAAGAGGGCTATGAAAATTTTGGTTACCGCTTCTTCCGTCTGAAAAAAATTGGTACAGTTTTGTGCAAATCGCACCCTTCTATTTTCACTAGTAACCGTATGATTGTTAACCATACCGCATAAAAAATCTAAAATGGATAGATCAGGTGTTCGAGGAGGTTCATGCAATTGGTCCACCTCTTCCTATCCCTGAGTTCGCATAATTATGATATAAATAATTTTTAACATTTCTTTCATTACGGGGGGGGGGGGACATAATGAAAGTCATGCTGGAACCACTGTATTGATGCGCGAATATCTACACGCTTTTCTTCATTTCCTCATTTGAAAATTTCATATTTACAATTTTTGTTTATTTTAATTTACAAAGTTTGGATGTGACAGCTTCACATTTCTGAAAGCAACGGCGATTGAACTTGTTCCCATGGCTAACTAAGTGAAATTGTAATATAACTCTGTAATTTTTTGAAAAAAAAAACATTTTATTTATTTAGCGTATGGTTTGGTTATTTAGCGTTGGTTTTTAAAAAATTGCGCTTTTTATGAAGTCATCGCCAACTATGGTTTCCATTTAAAAAAATATATGTTTATGTTATATGTCAAAAATGACAGGCTTTAGAAAAAAACAGAGGACACAATCTCATTAAGGATGTAATTATCTACAACTTTTATCTGAAAACTTTTTGTCTAAAATAGCTTATAATGGAATTAGGGACAATTTTTAAAATAGCCGATTTTTTTTTCGAAATATCTGGTAAGCCACAAACTTTTTCAAAAATCTGAAAAGCGCACATTTATGATCCCACAAAACTGCAGTTCTTTCCCCATTTAATCGACTCTCTATCTCCAGTAGTTTCCGAGATACCCATAGAGAAGATCGTATGAAACTCACCCTGTATAATAAACCCGACTAATATACATATAACCGAATTCTAACGGAACTGTTTGAAAGGTTAAACTAGGCTATACTCGATGTGGTTTGCCATTGTCAATTTTAGAATTAATGTTTAATGCAATATTGGTTTGGTTTACTACTAATTAAAATACTTTGGTCTTAAATCTAAATTACTTTGTATACCTATGTATAGTCTACTAAAATTTGATTGAGATGATTAAGTTATTTTTTCTTCTTTTATAAGAAGGCAATTTTACTCAAGTATTTGTTTACATAATTAATATAGGCAGGTTAATCTTATTTGTATATTTTTTATATGAACGTTTTTCGAAAACCATTGAGATGGATTCTTTTTAAATTTTCATCTTACTTGAAAATAAAAAAACTGAATATTGGTGTATTGAAATAGTTATAATAAGGGCTGGCAAAGGTTAGTCTTGGGTCGAGATTTCCGTATGTAAGAAGAGTACATTGCGTTTATAATGTACTGAACAAAGAGAGGACAGTAAACACGTTGCCAAACGTATGAAATAAACCGAGAAACTGTGCACATCGCTAAGAGACGTTGAAGGGGATATAGCAGATTTGTCGCAGTTGACCGGTCGACCCAATCAATACCTTTGTCAGTACTTAAAGTTCTAGGGAAAGGTGTACGTCATGCGTTCAGCTTCACGATTTAATTACGTCTCGTGATACTTGATTTTTTGTTTATTTATTAACGAGTCGTTGTAATTTTCCCTATAGCTTGAATTTTTTTAAGTGCAAGCTAGAAACACTTGCATTTTTGGTAAAAATAAGTGGAATTGAGTGCGTGTTCGATAGTGGTCGCGCTATTAGAACTCTGAATTCAAAAATCGATATCTCGAAATCTATTAGAAATAATAGATTGTAGTTTTTTCAAAAACTTTTATACGTTAATATTTCTGCTGTATTTTCTTTGTAGACAGTATGTGAAAATCTTTATCAATAAAAAAATTACACAATTGCTGAAAATTGCTATGCTCTAAAAGTAAATGGTTAGATTGTTTACAATTTTTGAATGGAAAAAACAACATTATCGAATTTTCTTATGTAAACATATTGTAAAATATCCGATCTTGAAAATAAAAAAAAGTTTCAATATCTAAAGCGGTTGAGGCCTGTTATGTGTTAAAAAGTTGAGTTTTAAATTATCGCGATTACGTCATCTCGAGAAAACATCATCTCGTTATAAATGACACCCTAACGATATCCCTATAATTCCATTTCAGATGCTCAGAAACATGTCTAATGATTTTATCTAGTTATCTCTTGAAAAAAGAATCTTTTAAAAATAAGCGGTTTGCGATCGTGATTTTACTTTTCTTGATAGGGAAAGGCGTATCGGCAACGCCGCAACAGCACACCGTCGCGCGTCGCGTCGCGTCGGTCGGTCGCATTTCTCTCACTCCGTCTTAATAAGATCCCTATGCGATTTACTTCCACACATGTAAATGCCGACCCAAAAGTAACAGTTGCCAGCACGGTATATTTTTCAAGTTTGATTTTCTTGGGATTTATGTTCGGGAAACGCTGATTAGGTTTTCATTTGGTTTAAATATCTTTATTTGGTTTTAAAAAACAAACGTTTCGGCTAACATTATAGCTTTCATCCCTTCATCAGTGTTATGTCATAACAAAAAAGGTGTCGAATATTAATTAATATCCAAAATTACATTTAAAATTATCACGCACACATAACATAATACAACATTGATATAATTAATCAAACAATATAAATTTGTAAATGATTAAACCACATAATATTTTATAAAGTTATTATTCTTAACCCGAAATTTATTAACATTTTCATTTAAACCAAATGAAAACCTAATCAGCGTGTTCCCGAACCTAGATCCCAAGGAAATCAAACTTAGAATATTTAGAAATAAGGTTTAAGAACTTCAAATTTTTCAAGAATATATTTTTTTATAACCTTGCATTTTAATCTATCAAAAAAATGTACTGGCCTAACAATATTTCATTGGATATTTTATTATTATGAAACTTACCCAGTAGCTAGTGTATTTGGCCACATTTACTTTGGTCCCTGTAAATAAAAAATATCGATTAATAATATAAATACATAATATACAGGGTGAGTCTTAAATAAGTGCAAATATTTTTAAAGGGTGGTATATTTCGACCTCAGAAATACGTCTATGAACTTTTTCCCAAAAAATATGTTGAAAATCGTGCATTCTTTTTGGAACTGCCTGTTCACCGCAAATTTTCCTACGGTATGATTTCTTAGTCTCTGATATTACCATGGTTAAAGCTTTCCTCTATATGGCAACGTTACTAAAAGGGATGAAATTACAGAAAAAATCCGGTAGGTAACTCTCAAATTTTTTTAAAAATAAATATATTTTTTTAATTTTCAAAACTTGAATAACTCGTTTTTCTTTTATCGTTTATAAATTAAGTTTCTTTTATCGAGATTTACCAGCCCTGAAAATATTTGCACTTATTTAAGACCCGCCCTGTATAATCAACATAATCTATATAATCTATTACGAAAATTAAAGTATATGTATTCCACATTTTATAGGTTAAAATGTTTTATCACTTCTAGTTTTTTAACGAATAAACATATACTTTGAAAGAAATATGCAAGAAAGTTTATAAAAACGTAATTTCCTACAGCTTCATCCCCATCATTAAGCTCGTAAAAGAAAACGACTGAAAAGTAACTTTTCCAAAAGGAAATAAAAAAGGACGTAGAAACGAAGACGACAGTGGCGTGCAAATGGAGGATGATTCGCATTAGAGTCATCGTGAACACGTGAACTAAGAAATAATTAATACATAACTAAGTACCGTACGATCGAAAAAAAAGGCGTCAAAGACGGCTGGGAAATAGCAATCGAGCGATATGTGCATTGTGATTTAATCACTATAAAAAATCACGGTAACGGTTAACTCTGTGATTTAAAAATCAAGCTAATTTTAGCAAATGATATGTGTGGGTTATCAAGAGAAAACTATAAAATGAGACCCACCGAAAAAACTCCGATTAATGCACAAAAATACATATAAATGGAGTTTAATTTTGTCATTATACTCATCTTACGCTATTCCAAACAGTATCTGAACGCCACTGGTGGAAGATGAAGGAAGGAAACTGACGCGAACAAACAGCTACGTTTGCTTTTTACGCAATATTGGAGCCTATATTGCTTTTGAAAGTTTACATCCGCCTTAATCACCATTATATTGGGAAGTCGTTCGACTGTGCTTAAAGCGAACTCTTGATTCTTTTGGATGAGCTGTTCGGTGCCGCAGCCGATGGGAAAAAGCAGCGGATTTGATGGCGAAGTTTTTTTTGATAGGTTCTAATGACCGTATACGGAACATGTTTTCGCTAGATTGGTTCCTATTAGAAATAGATATTTGTGATGTCTGCATTTCTGTATCTTTTTATCAGACAATAAAACAGTTCTGTCCATTCTAGAAAATTAATTTTAGAGCATACTATATTATACTAAACTAGCTGATCTGGAAAGATTAGTACCGTCTGAAAGTGACATGAACTGAAGTGAAATGAAGTGAAGTGAAGTGCGAGTTCCAAATTTTAATATGCTATTTTCCATTGAAATTATATTCAGTTCCCATTAATGTCTAGAAAGTCAGTGATATGCAATGTGGACATCAATTACTGCAAATAAGCTCTAAAATATAAATGCGATGTAAGCTCTGAATTGCGGAAGATGGCGGAGATCCAACCTAATTTATTTAAAAATAAACGTTTTGTATAATTTTTTTCTGGGAATTTTTCTGATATTTTAGTAGTGATTCTGCTATTCGGGGCGGATACGAATCCAACAAATCAAAGATCATTAAAATCGGTCCAGTCGTTCTTATACAGGGTGTGACACGTTTAGTGAAAATCGCTGATATTTTATATATAAAATTATATGAGGATCGTAATTTCCAAGCTTGACACCTTTAGTTTGGTTTCATCATACGCCATGAAAATAAATGAAGTTTGATCAGTTATACGTTATACGTATACAGGGAGTTTTAAAAAACATGTGCCATCTCTTGTGGGAGATTCTTCACGTAAAAATAAGATTTATTTTTCATATCAACATAGGTCCGATTCTACTTTGTTTCGTAGTTACAGGGTGTTAAAGTCTTACTAAAATGCCAGGATCCCACGGAAACCATCTACTAAGTGGCTGTTTACTCGTAATTACATTTGCTTAACGAATCAAAATTGTTAAAGTTTCAGGTGCATATCTTCCCCCGTCATCAGAAACAAAAAAGAAAACAAAATTATAATGGTTTAATCCAACTACATTGACCGGTACGAAAAATGGACACCTTAAAATTTTCCTGAGTTTTAATGATTCATCTCAATAACTTTATTTCTACTGGAGATATTCGCTTTTGAAGAAGACAGTAGCCAGTAACGATTTACAGCAATTTTAGCATTATAAAGGATGCCTTTGCTGTTGGTCCCCATCAACACACATGTTAAAGTTGGGCTATTGTTAAAATATCGCCGTCATTAAAAAGGCATATTATTTTTCCTTGGCAATTACTATAGCAGAGATGGTTTCAAGTCCAAAAGTTCCTCTCTTTACCATTAGCCGAGAAATCAACTTCTTGACTCTTCTAGAATAACTGTCAACAAATAATAATAATATAACTTTTCAATGATAGTGATATTAAAACAATAAATACTATTTCATAATTGTGTTGATTAGGAACAATAGGCTTTTAATGCTGAAGATTGTTACGAATTGTCGTTAATTCTTGTCTTCTTCATGGACGAATATCTCCAACAAAAAGAAAGGTATTGAGATGTGCCAAAAAACAAACTATTGAGAAAAGATGCAGCTTGATGATAAAGTGATTTTTAAATTTCTTACATTGTTGCACTATTCCACAGGGTATTTCAAACTTTCGCCAAAATTACAACAGTTAAGCTACAAACTTAAATAGTTTAGTTTCCCACTGTTTTAAAACTCGCCAAAATTGGCCGACTAAAATAAAATATATTGAACTTTAAAATACACTTGTTTACTATTACCGTATGATCGAAAAATAACGGCGTCCAGTTGGTTTGAAAACGAATATCGATGACATTGCCCATATAATTTTACCGTATATCTATCGTAGTCATTTATTATAGCCATATTCGTAGCCATCGATGACGCCGTTTTTTTCGGTCATATTGTCCTTACTCCCTTACATAGATTGACAGTTTTTACATATTACATATCATATACCAGTCTTGACACAATAGATCTATAAGGTCGCGGTGATTAACCCCCCCACATTTTCTACATATACCTATCCTTTTAATTTTTGCAAAATATGTTTTTATATTGAAGTTGATTTCATATAAAACTTTTTTATTTGTCTTCGTTCGCACGTGTTGAAATTGTGTGAACATTCTAACTGTCACTGATTTATATTCACTGCTAGGTGTCTTTCTGTAAATAAAAGAGGCAAATATAGCAGAAAAGGAAATAATTAGTTTAAAAGATAGACTAGGTACTATTGAAATCGGGTGTTTTCTGTGTCTATAATATAATGAACCATTAATATAACATATGCCTAGCTACATTTATTGCTACATACGTTGACCAAATGTAAATCTTCAACAACATACGGAAATCTATATAAACACAGACAAACCAAAATATATTGCGATTTTCTTGTAGAGATAAATTTCTTAAGTAATTAATCGGTATCATTATTTACCTAATTTTTGAGATGAGTTGTTACATACTTAAGAAATAATTGCAATATTTTAGTAGGTAGGTTACAACTCGTAATTAAAAGTGTCAATACCTGTAAAAACGTTAATATTAAGTGCAGGTTGCATGCATACTCATATCAAAGGAGTAATATAATTCAATGACCATTACGAAGTTGTACATTAAAAGTTATTTATTAGAAACACATGTATTTGATGACATCAATGCATAATTATGATATTTATTACTATGAATGTAATTTTATTCAATGTATTCTCTCTTATATTAAATATGTTTCTGGTAACTAATTATCAATGCCGTCCTAGTACAGGGTAAAGAGTTTTTATATATTCAGATTTTTCGATATTTTTATGTTTTGTTACATTTTTATTTTCAACCACATCAGATGGCTCAGTGTATACACTGACCGGAATTTAAAATTTGTATGTGTTTTAAAATATATTTTGTTTTAGTGGGCCGATTTTGATGAATTTTTTATCAATTTGTAGCTATATTATTTGACTTTTTCGCCCCTTTTCAAATTACAAATAAAATTCCCTATTTATCTATTATCCAGGGGAAACAAAATGTTGTAAATTTGGCAAAACTTTGAAACACCATGGGGAATGGTTTAACGAAGTAAGGAGTCTTTTCTCGATAATTTGTTTTTATTTCATGTCAATAGTTTTTCTTTTTGTTGCATATATTCGTTTTTGAAGAAAACTGTAACAATTAATAACAATTTTAGAGGTACAGTACGTCTATCCGTTCTGTAGCTACGGGGATCCATAAGGGGGGAAACAAAATGCTCTGTTAGCGAGCAATTCATGAGCGAACTATACATATTTAAATAACATTACTTACTTCTATAATAATTTCAAAAATACCTAATCAGTTTTTTTCGGCGTTTTTGCACATAAATGAGACATAACCAAAATGCTCTGTTAGCGAGCAATTCCATGAGCGGACTATACATATTTTAAATAATATTACTTACTTCTATAATAATTTCAAAAATACCTAATCAGTTTTTTTTCCGTTTTTGCACATAAATGAGACATAACCTTTATATTTCTATTTTATAGAAATTAAAAATGAAGAAGAAAAACAATAAAGGATTAATAGAATCAAGCAACTATTTTAGCGATAATGACTGCACTGTTCTCCAAGCTCGGTCTACTAGCGTTCTCGTAAGAAGCTTAGGCGATGCATACGTAGTATATTCTTTGGATGCATCCCGTCAATAAAAAATCGAAAAATTTACAAGTGACCAATGTAATGAGTTGCCGGAGTGTATTTTGCGGTGACACAGTCGTCAAGTCCACGTGGACTCTCTGCC